GTAGCTCTGATTAAACGTTTGATCCCACAAATAGGGCCAACACAGAAAAGGGACTCCATTGCTTATGCCTTCGATGGTGGAATTCCAACCGCAATGGCTAATGAAACAGGCAACAGAAGGATGGGATAGGACGTTTTGCTGCGGTGCCCAAGCCACCATCCGCCCCCAATTGTGCACTCTTTCGTGGAACCCTATTGGGTATGCATTGTCGACGTCTTCAGTTGTGTTTTCTCGCACGACCCAAAGGAATGGTCTTTTGGTGAGTTCAAGGCTGAGAGCAAGTTCTTTGAATTGATTCTGATCAAACACCGTCAAACTTCCAAATGCAACATATATGACAGAATTACGTGGTTGTTGATCAAGCCACGAGAGGCAAGCTGTTGAAGACAAAATTCAAATAAATATGTTGTCCCTATATAATTTAAATAATCATATGCATTCTATTTTTTATAGCTTAATATTGTTTCTCGAAAACCTGAGTCTTGTTGCCAGAAGTTGCCAGCTGATTTTCCAAGCCTGTTACTTGCCAGAAGAGGTCCTATGGGTAAAAAGTCTGGAAATGACGCAAATGTCCCAGGCTCCAACCAATTAGATGAGTTGCAAATTAACCTGTCTGGCGATTTAACTGACTGCATATTTTTAAACAAGAGTTTGAAGAAGATTTTCTGTTTCACTTCATCGCCTATACAATTCCAAAAGAAGTCTACAGTCTTCATGGGAGGCATCGCTTGTGAAAGCTGAATTATCTGGTTTTTCATTGGTGTTCCTGCGTAAAAAATTCAGCAATATTATTAATATAGAATACAATATATTTTTTTTTAAAATTCAATGTCAATATTGAGTCACAAAGCTTCAATTTTTACCGTTTATTCACTAAAAACCAATGGCAACACTGATTTAGTTAATATCATGCTTGTGTAGTGTGACGGTTAAATATGTGATCAGCTAGAATGTTGGATGGGGACCGTTCAACAGTTATCATGAACAAAATCAAGAGCTGGATAGGTGGAGGCTCTCCACTCAGAACGAGGGGGGTGGTGGGAGGTGCTACGTGGGACACGTGGCGCGATAACCACCCAACAGTTACACGATTTCGATCACCTATAAATATTCCTAAGGCGAGACAAGTATGGGTCTGAAAAATTTTGGCTATGTAAATACATATCCCATATTTTCTTCCTAACTCTACATTTTTTAAATCCCTCACTAGTTCTGACCCTAGAGGTAGAAAGGGGGAGAAAGCTCCAACCTCATTTCGTAGGTAACATAGTAGAAACACCTTGTGCAGACTGGAGGGCACATAGGTTTGATTCATAACTATTTCAATGTTGAAAATAAAAATTAACAGGGTTTAAATCCAAGTTCATTTACATTCAGATGATTAAGTAATTTTAACCTTTTTGACCAGATTTTTAAAGGCCTGCATTCATAGGAGCGTTGACATCAACACGTCTAAAAAGTGAGAGATAGACCAAACTAAAACTGAACAGAACAAAG